TTTACTGTCTCCACTCCCACACTGCAGTAACACTGCCCACTGAAGCCTTTCACAGACCGACAGGACTGCAATGCCAGGAACCAGGTGATCACCACATCCACAGAGATATAGGTTCTTGTTGGAAACACTAACCTGGAGGCAGTTGCTCTATTCAGGGGCTCTAATGATCCGAATGAACTTCCTACTCGCTCCCACCCCGTTTGTAACACAGATAGAAGCCACTGAGCCCCCGTGAGTTTGTATTATTATTAATTATTAATTATTAATAATAATCCTTGCAGTTGACATTGCGCCTTATCACATCGTTGAGAAGTCTCAAAGCGCTTGACAGAATGCACTGTCAAGTGAGTTGACTATATTTTGTGGGTGAAACATGGGCAGCCAATTGCGCACAGAAGGGAGGGAGGGGTTAATAACCGATGTGTTGTTTCCCTTCAGAAGCAAAAGGGTTAATACAACAACTTGCATTTATATAGCGCCCTTCAGGTGGGGCAGCATCTCGGAACGTTTGTACCTTGGGTAACCTCTGTTGAGGGAGGTTTGAAAACTTCCTGTTAGGGAGAGGCACCATTTTTTCCCCCCTTTCTGCACATGTTCCCTTGTGGCTACACGCTCCAGGGGTGATTATTTGACCGCCTGCTCCCAGGGTGATCTCATTCAGCAGCTGCCAGGGATTTACAAAGGGGCTGTGGGCAGCACCCACCACCCCTCCTCTCTGGGCATCCACCTGGCCTCCATATTGAGCATGGGCTACAGTCAACAGAACGACAGAATGGGTATTCTAACCTCCTCTCCTTGATGCTTCCCAAAACATCCACTCTCAGCCCTGGGGAATAGAAGACTTTCCCTTTCAGGATCATTAAGCACACAATTAGAAGCCGATTAAAAGCTCCTTATATGGGTAGCTCCAATGGGTTAACGGAGAGAACTGCAGCTTATGGACTGGGAATGCATTGGTTTGAATCCGCATTGAGTGTGCTGGTCTTGGCCAGGACTGCACAATTGGCCCGTCTGTTCTCAGTGTTAACGAGGGGGGAAAGCAGCCAGAGATCCTGCTCCTGGTCCCTTTAAGGAACCCACCACTGGTCATGTGTGGGACAGCTGCATGAGGTGAGGTCAGGCTTTGCCTGTAACCCCCTTTTGTACTGCAGTGAGCTTTGCCTCCTGAAGACAATTTTACATAAATACTCCCTGACACCCAAAGGTAATCAAGTAACAATACCAGAATATTCCACCCAGCCAGCTACCCTCCACAGACACATCTCTCCCTCTTCCCACCTGTCAACAATAAAGAAAAACATCTTGTCCTGTGAAATATGAGTTCTCTGTCTGACCACATTTACTCCGATTACCTCCAGGAATGGAGGTATCCAAATGGATACTCATTCAGTTCTTTTTTGAAGGAATTAATCAGTATATTAATTGCTTATGCTAAAGTCTGTTTCATGGACCCTACTGGAAGATGGGGTTTGTGGAGGTAGGAGGACAAAATAGGTCACCCTTCATACACGATAGTGTCTCGGATGTACAGTGGCGGGCTAGATGCTAAGCAAAGGAGAAGAGGGAGGTGGAAAGACCATAGACGCGATCAAAGGGATTGACGTGGCAGGATTGAGGCAGGGAGGTCCAGAGGTGAGGGGCACAATAGCTGAAGGCACTCTACCTATGTGAAGCATAAAACTACATGTTTTCATTCAAATCCCTCAATGTCAAGCACCTTGGGATGTTCTCCAAACATGAAAGGTGCTATACAAATGTAATTTGGTGTTGATGTTTGTTGTTGTTCTTGCAGTCCACGTCAAACCGCCTGCTTACATTTATACCCTCCATGGCTCTCTACATTTTAAAGATATGGATTATATCTGCCTTTAATTCTACCAGTGGTTTGAGAAGTTGTGACACATATATGGTAAAGCTAGATCAGTTCTCCACAATTCATTCTGAATATAAATGGGAATAACGCTGACAAGCACAGCTTCAGTCTTTTCAAGTAGGCTTTACCTCTCTGAAACTGAATAATAACAACCCTTGTGTTTGTTGTACCGCCTTTCATGTCAGGAGGACATCTCAAAGCGCTTCACGTGATTTACTGCAAAGTGTTGTGACTGAACATTGTGTAGGCGAATGCGGCAGCCAATTTGCACACATCAGTGTCCCACAAACAGCCATGAAGTGGCTTTTATAATTGGAGGAGTTGATAGTCATGTCACCGGGAGAAACCCTTCACTCTTCGTGTCATGGGATCTTTAACATCTACCTGAAGTTGTCACTAGATGGCACCTGAAAGCAGCATTTACCTGGCCATCTTGTTTGCTGATTTCCTCTTCCCCCATAGGAAGCACCTAGCCTTCCTGCCTCTGAAGGCCTCAAAATCATATCTTGAAATTCCACCTTAAAACCTACGTCTCTGACTGTGCCTATGGCCACCTCCCTTTCTTCCTTATTCGGGGTCCAACTCCTCACTGTGCAGCCAAGACGCTATCCTGTATTTACATTGCAGTTACTATATAAATCAAATAAAAATTAACTAGCCTCAAGCAATGTTACAAGAAATATATTTCGCCCTGTTCCGTCCTGTCCCAGCACTTTATTGACCAGTGAACATGTATGTTGATGTACCATGCCAACACATTGCTAAACAGGTCATTTAATAAAGAAACACAGAGAAAAGATTGCTACAGTTAATACTAATACTAATCCTTGTATTTGATATAGCGCTTTTCATGTCTTCTAGACGTCCCAAAGCGCTTCACAGAATATACTGCAAAGTGAATTGACTGTATATTTGTGGGCGAACGGGGCAGGCAATTGCGCACAGCAATGTCCCACAAACAGTCGTGGATTGAAAATGACCAATTTATTATTCTTTTGTTTTTGGAGGGATTATTATTAGGCTCTGTGTGGAGTAAGGAAACTTGCCCAAGGTTTCGCCCTCTGCCTGGAGTTGAACTCAGGTCTCTCGCTTGCAAAGCGAGTGCTCTAACAACTGAGCTACAGGACTCCATAGTTATAATAATAATAATAATCAGTTATTGATTAAGTAACCAGACTTTTTTTGTTTCTATCATAAATGAACGATTTTTTGTTTTTCATACAGGCTTTTGGGCTGGTGCGAACAGGCAAGGTCCATTATATGGAGCAGGAAAAATAAGTCATTGTAGACAAAGAGGGGATAAAAACAGGCATTTTGTGTAAAGGACCGCTGCCTCAAATGCTCCCAGACCAACTCTGCTTCTTGATCTACTATGCAGTCTCTCACTGGCTGAGTGAGTGCTTTCAAATACTGCTTTCATTTCTTGGAAGTTTTTAAATCAGATCTGAAAATTGGAGATTCCCTCTGCATATTGCAGAAAATATACTTTATTGGCAGGGCTCAAAAGCTACTTTGTCACAGAAGGCGAATACAATAGGAGTCAAATGTGGGGTTGCATGAAGGGCCTATACAAATGTAATTTGTTGTTGTTACACAAATCTTGAGATATTATACCTCAGTGCTCCAGGCTCTCAACTACGGGAAATATACAGGAAATAGCAACTCTGATTCACAAGTAAACTACAGATAACTTGATATCCCAAGGAGTCCACAGCAATCGTTTCAATTTGCAAAACAAAAATAGGAATTCTTTTCGTAAAAATTCTGGAGCAGGCTGATCTAAAGCTCACCCTGGAGAATTCCTTTAATCTGGAAAATTCATCATTTGTGATGTGAAGATACTTATTGACAGAACAGGTTAGTGGGTGGATGGATTGCAATAGTAAAAGAAATGAGCTGATGTGAACAACAGAAGTAAGGTACGTAATGTCCAGCAATAGGAATCCTCAGAAGCATCAGCTGCCATTAGCATCTGTCCCATCCCCTGTGCCAATGTGGAATCATCTGTGATTTCAATATTCAGTGACAACTGTGTAGGTACAAGTACTTTGTGTTGAACCTTTGGGTTATATAAGAATTGGATTGCTGGCTACTGATCAAAGGAAAAGACCCTGCAAAATGGAGCCTGCTGCAAACAATGTAATCTGGGCACTGAGCCTCTCTCATAATACAGTACGAGAAAAGTGCCGCGCTGGAAGTCAAAGGGTATTTTTCATTCTCACTGTAAGCAATGTTAAAGTGTTCCTCGGCACTTTGTGAGCACAGCTTGTTGGCGTATTATACTGGTGCTGTTTTAGAAATAAAAATGTAAATATTACTGTTATAATAATGTTCACGAAAGCAAACAATGAATAAACTATTTTCATAGACCTGTGAGTATCTGGCTTCCATAATAATAATAATCCTTGCATTTGATGTAGCGCCCAACATCAAAATGTCTCAAAGTACTTCACAAGTAATCGCTGTCAAGTGTAGTGACTATTTGCAGCCAAGCACAACAGCCAATCTGCATGCAGCAAGGTCCCACAAGCATCCAAGAAGTGATTTACCAAACTATCAACAGGATTGTTGGCCAGAACATTGGAAGAAAATCCCTTCTCTTTTCAAAGTGTCATAAGATCTTTAACATCCACTTGAACAGTCAGACAGGACCTTGGTTTAACATCTTTCCAAAGGCCAGCACCTCCAAGAATTCAGCACTTACCTACCTACGACTGAATCTGAATGTCAGCCTGGACAATGTCCTTAAGTCTCAAGCAGGACTTCAACTCCCAACCTTTTGACACAGAGGTGAGAATCAGACCAACTGAGCCAAGCTCACACACACCCATATGATAACAACCCATATTTGTGACTATTGGTAAGCTGGTTCTCAGAGATGGATTAGACGAAGCAATATTTTTCCGAAATAGTAGCAGATACCAAATGGTGTATACTGGAGCTGCCTGCACAAGATTGAAGGCAGACTACTCAAACTCTTGGGGAATAATCAGAACTTTATTGTTTAGGGCAACGCTGCCTCAACTTATGAGGTCTTTTCATCGATTTGATTATCTGGCAAGCAATGCTCTCAGCTGCCAGCCAAAGATGTCAGCGATGTGGTAAAGCAAGATGTTGATTCACTTACAATAGATTCTCGGTGGAGATATCCTATGTCTTCGATTCCTTTGATATTGATAATATCGACACCTTTTTCACCTCCGGGGAATGGGTGGTACATCTCGTTTCTCAACATGGTGCAATTCTCATATGTTTGCAGTTTCTCCTCAGGTTCAGAAAGATCTGCAGTGTTTGTGCTCCCCTCACTCTTGATTGTATCTGAAACAGGAATCAGGAAAACAGTGAAATCATAGACCTAAGGCTTATTATTTTATTAACTATCTTGTTAAAGTTTTGCCGTATCTAACCAATCTAAAAAAAAGTTTGCTAGTTGCTTGAATATGTAACCGTGCAATAAATACACTCCAGATACATTACAAAATGGTTCTCAGGAGCAAAACTCTGGATGCCTCAATTATACATTTATATTCTCTTTCCCCAAAGTAGTGTGACAGCTCATGTGATTTAGATGCTGTGTAAAGCAATATAATGAGTCTCGTACTCTGCATGCTAAACTGACATATTTGCCCACAAATATACAGTCATTTCACTTTATAGTAGATTCTGTAAAGTGCTTTGAGACGTCTAGAAAATGTGAAAAGCGCTATATCAAATGCAAGGATTATTATTATATGATACTTAATTTGTAATAAAGTGGAAACATAAATCTGAAAGCATTTTCTCTACCCCCCTCCCCCCAATTAATTGTCATCCCAGGCTCCTTTCACATAATTAAATAGAACAATTATGATTTTTTTAAAAATCTGTAACCAGTTTTATAATGTACGTTGTGATACAACCCTTGCTGCAGCAGATGCCCATCTGCCAACTTTACTGCACTGATGAATGTTATCTTTTAATGGTGTCAAGTTAAAGAGAGCCTCTAAGTCAGACAGTTTATTACCGGTTTGTCAGACTTCATGGCGTATTCCTCTTCATTAAATTTTCCATCAAACAAGCAACTCAATGAAACATCCTTTTTTTTTAAAAAAAAACAAAATCTCAAGCCCAACACATGGAAAAGTATCATATAAAATTGAGAAGAAATCAGCTAGTTTCACTGTGTATCCTATTTATATCATATCTCAAATCTCCAGATGCGCAGTTGTAATCCTAGGTTATGGGCTTCCATGCAGAAAACGAATTAAAATGCTTGGCGGACACAGTTATAGTGTTTTGAGTCCCTGTACCCATACTGTTGCATGGCAGCAAGACATAAAACAATGGATAAATGAACCATCACTGGACCTTCCACACAGACTCCCAGGCTTCTCACCACTATACCGAACTAAAAAAAGAATTGTAAAACTATCTTGAAAAAGCATGGCTGAGTCATTGTATAAACAAAACCGGACTGGAATCCCCCTTGGATATGTATTATTCAACAAGTGGGAACTGGTGTCATCATATCACAACTTTGTTACTTCTGTTATCTGATCAGGTTCCGCACTGGATAAATATCAAACCTAGAGGGACCCCACCAAGTGCTCTTTAAACCTCCCTGTGCAGACGTTTCACAATTTAGCGCAGACCAAAATAAAGCGAGGAGTGCCTCAATATTTATTTTTGAAAAAGTCACGTCAGGCTCGACTCTCTTTCGCGTGAAGTGTGGATGTGCAATTCATGTTGTGATACTGAACGAGGGCAGGTTTCATCCCTGATTTTGTGCCATTATCTGATTCCAATCAGGGAAGCAAATGAACCCAGCTTTCCTGGATTGAGCAGAATAAAAATATATTGGCCTAACATGATTCAGGAGAGGTGGACAGGATCAGGTCTGCAAGTCCCTGATCCTGTCCACTCTGTTCCCTATGTAGACTAACACATGGACTATCACTGTCCAGTCATACAAATGAGCAATGATTGCTAGGATAATTACCAGAGTGTTGATAGGACCTGTGGAACTATACCCTACCATGGGTCACCAACTTTGGTAGACCAAAGGAGAAATATAGATACGCAAACATTAGCAAAAGAAAAAAAAATGAAGATCCTTGTAAAGAAATATTTCCTGGTGTCTGTCCTGAATTTGCCGTTTATAGCTAAATGTTTTAGAAACAAAACTTGCAACAGTTCAATATTAATTTAGTCAAGGGATCTATTTCTGTAGTATATATGTTAAAGTTATTTTTTTTTGACTGTGCCCTACATCCATCCAAAACATTCTTGTGTTGTTTGTGCAAACCGGCTTCCATACTCTGAATGGTGTCTAGGATTATTGAAACAAAAATTACAATTACAGTATTAATTATGATATTACAATCATTTCAGTTCCTACTTTTTGTAACTAACCTGTTCGGGTGTTGTGTAACAAAGTGGAGCTATTTTTTGTGAACTTGGACAATATATGTGCAGTGATTTTGTTGAGATAAGGCAGAATGAGATGACTCTTGATATTTATGGAAATGTAATTTGAAACTCTTCTGGATCCGACTGCACTATTAATCCCACAGATGTCCTATAATTCTCACGTGTTCTTGTCAATTACTTTACAGCAATTTCTGTGTACAGCACTGATGCCTCATTGAAATTAGTGTGAGATGTATTAGATGCTCTAATTCATGTTCAACCGATTTACAAAGCACAAAACGCAACAGTGTCACTTGTTTCTAAAGCATCACCTTCCTCTGATGTTCACAAGAGCATAAATGTCAAACAATAGGGCAATGTCCACATGGATCTTTCTAAATTAAGTTTTTGGGGGGGGGGGTAAAAAAAAAAGGTAAATTGCAAACCATTGCCATGGATTTAGATCACAAGGACCGAGCTGGCACTCCAATTACATTTGCTCGGAATCATCCGCAGTAAATTATCCGGTTAGAAATAACAGACAATATCAATCGCTAAACAAACAATTCAGATCCAAGGCTGTGGAATAGGCTGCTGTTTCCTGTGACAGGGCGCAGTCGGTGCAGGCAAAATTATGCTTTCTGCTGATCCCGAATCTGCCCAGTAATCTATCCTGCAAACAGCAGCGAACGAGACCCAGAATAAATACACACTAGAAAAGTTGCAGGGTTATATAAAGAGTCAGACAAATTCAGAACTGGAGACTACGAATTATTAATTCGGTGTACAGCACTGGGTATCTATCTATATATCGGCCTTAAACCATCCAAATAAACAAAGCGAATACCCCAATAGAGAAACTAGATGTTGCAGTCAGCACTCAACACATTGCCCCCTTTTTTTGTAAATTAGAAAAGACAAGTTCATCTCACCAGCAGCACAGTGACATCAGCCCAGAGCCACTCTGGTATTGAGTCACGTCAAATGAAGGGAGTATTTCAGATCACACTGTTTAAAGCTCGATTTGGAAGGGCGGGACACGACAACAGTGGAGGACAGACTCCCCCAAGACAGTACTTGTATTCAGGCATGAGAGAGAGAGAGAGGGGGGGGGGAGAGAGAGAGGGGGAGAGAGAGGGTGGGGTGGGGGGGATCTCTGGTCATCAACAAAAGCGTGAGAGTACACACCTCAGAGCAGAATCTCAAACGCTGCCCAGTGCAGGTGGGCTCCCTGAGAAGCTACAGAGCTGCGATAAAAGAAGCACAAACTCTGATGGATACCCGAAATTCGAGGAAACCCTTTGCGGGGGGTTTGTACGGTGCGGATGCAAAGCAAAAGCGACGCGGTTTTCCAGCAGTAAAGCCATTACTTGTGGGGAAGCTGAGCAGCTGGTTTCCACCCTGAATCACATTGGCCCGGAGAGGTGCGGGGAGAGCTCTGTGCAGAAGGGGAAAACGACTCTGATGTCGATTGCCAGATTTGCTGCTGCTGTTTGATGTGACTGTTGATGTTACTAAAGATAAACGCACCGGGACACCCGAGAAACTGGAGGGGAGTCCACCCGAAGGCGGTCCTGGATGCTTCTCGTCGCTTGCAATGTAATATTGCAGTGGGTTGTAACGGTTCCTGTAATAATTTCCAAAGTGGAGTCCAGAGCTGAAGTCCCAATCCTTGATCTCAGCCCCAAGTCACTGTAATTTTCCGCACTGTTTTTTTTTTTTTGGGGGGGGGAACAGGCAAAAAAACAGCACGGGAACAACTCCAGAGTGAGAGTGAGAGAGAGAGTAAATAACACGGATCAGGGTTAGAGCTCCAGAATGTCAATCACTGAGTGCTGTGTGTGTGTGTGAGAGAGAGAGAGAGAGAGAGTCAACTTGTAGATTATGTTGCGTTCCAAACGCGATAACGGGCCATCACTGGGGTTCACACTGTCGACCACTACTGTCTTAAAATCTCCCCCTACACTCTCCCCATTCGCATTCACTCAACTCGGGAGCAATTGGGAAGGCGATTTGATGAATCCTCAGTAAAACCTCACAGCTGGTGTGTGTCAAGTCACTTTCCTTCTCTGCTCCAGGAGACGCGTCGCCTCTCTCTCTCTCTCTCTCTTTGCCGACTCCAGTTTTCATGTGTCCAGTGTGTCTTTTGAATTCGGGCTGCAATCCAAGTCATGTTTGGCAGCTGAAATAAGCAGACATCGATTCTCTCCCCCCCCCCTCTCTCACAGTCTTCGTGGGAATGAAAGCAAAACGATTTGCAAGACGACAAGTCGGTTTCCAGCTCATTCATTCTTTTTAAAAATATACAGATTGAGTACAAGTCACAAATGTCCTCAGGAAACTCATAACTCTCTAAATACTATTCAAACTACCTATATGGTTGTCACACACTTTGCAGGATGTTGCACACATTTTTTTTTGTGTGCGGTTAACAGCAATTAGGCTAATTTAAACCTAATTGACCATGTTATACGTTTGCAACTCTTGACTTGCTGTGGACACTCTTACCCATGGTGAGGAGTTTCCACATCAGTCAGACAGACACCCTACCCACCCGGCTGACACCTCAAAAGAAGTATTAGATTCCCAGATATCCTTTTTCAATCTCGACTAGGGGTTTGATTTGGCACGGTTGGACTTGAAACGAACTTACTGAACAGTTCCATATGTTTGGAGGGCGGTGAACAGTTGTATTTTTAAATCTGTGGTCGTGAATTGAGTGTTAGATTTTTTTTTAAAAATGTCGAGGGGGGAAATCAGTGAAAGGGGCAAAATCACACACATACATACACCACACAGATGGATGGTTTATGCGCGGATCTGGAGGTTAGCACATGCCCAATGTTAGGAACACTTTAGGGCATTCCTGGGTCTCGCTGACTCGACTGATGCAGAAATAGTCGCTCAGGTCTCTGGGTTCTCAGTTTGGATTACATGCCATCTCTCTGTTAAATACATCAAATGAACAAACAGGGTTTATTTAAGGTGAGTGGAGAAGGAGAAAGAGAGAGAGAGAGAGAGAGAGAGAGACTGCCCTTGTGCTCTTTCACTGAACAGGTACTTATTAAAGTGGGAATGTTGATGATTTTGACTGCCAACAGCCCACCCAACAGAAGTTCACCTCTTAAGTGTCTTTTTTTTAAAAAAACACACACACACACACATATAGACACAGCTATTAAAATAGATTCAATATTTGCACCGAGTCAAAGTTTTCAATTCGCCACCTCTGTGTTTTGGTGGCAAATTGCGGTGTTTTGGTGCAGAGCCCAATCCCACAGCGAGTTACAGGTTTACCAGGAGAGAGAGAGAGAGAGAGTGGTGAAATGCACTTACATTTACCCATCGCTTCGCGGTGACAAACTTTGGGTAATTCCAGACCATTCCTGTCCATGTCCTCACCTCTGCTCAGTCCTGCAGTGTTTGGCAGCAGTGAACGAACTGATGACAGGAAACAGCGATTTCCCTTTTTAGGGGCTGTTCTTGTGTACACAAAACGAACCTTTCACGCGTTTCCATCGTGTCCTGTCGCCAGTCCCATCACTGAGAACTTTCAGGAGACAAATGAACCCATCAGAGAGTTCCCTCTCTCGCCCGAGCAAAGCCCAGGTACCCTCCAGGTGTCCTCTGGAGTCTAAACTGTGTTGGAACTGTGTTTGTGGGGGAGAGGCACGAACTAAACGCTCACCAATGAATGGTTAGAAGTGCCCACCGAGTGACTGGGACTTACCCCTCCAGCCATCACTGCTTCAGGTCCCATTCACCGAGTGCCTCGGTCGAGCGTGTGGTGGTTTTTGAGGCGTTTTGGCGCAGTTTAAGTCAAAAGTTGAATTGGCAAATGGATATATTGGGGCATTCGGAGATGCCGAGGAGCGGACAAACCCCAACACTTCACCTTTCTCAAACAGGGGCCGTTTGATCTCGTCTGTGGCCACAAAATAAGCTCTGGTTTGGCTCTCGGGAACCCTACAAGTCACACCGACTGTTTCGCACAGTTTGGGCTGAAAGGTTATCCCACCGCTGTGCGCATGTTAGCCCACGTTGCGCTGCTGTATATACACATCATAAGCAGCTCTGGACTCAGCCTCCACATGTTCTGGTTTATATAGTATCAATTCCCATTATGTAAGGGTGTCTATAAATAAACATTATTCGATACAACCGAACCTATTACGCGGCCCCATCTCTCTCTCTTCATATATATATATATTTTGTTCATCGTTTCACTGTAATAGTATTAATCACTGCGGATGTTATTCAATTTACAGTGACGATTTTACACCGATTTTGAAACAATTCGCCATATCATTGGATGCCCTTCTGGTCCCTGACCTGAACCTCCCATCATCAGGAAAAATACCAAGTTATCTTCTCGACGTTGGGCACTTCCTAATTTTCCTCGGGGCAGACGACACCCCTTTCAGAGACAGTTAAACACGTGGAAAGAATCTCACGATCTAAAATAAGAGAGTGTGAGACCTCTACCCCAAAAAAAGGAGGTCATCTCCGGGTATTGAAGTGGATCTGGGATAGAAGTGACAGAGAGAGAGAGAGAGAAAGAAAGAAAGAAACTCAGTGAGTGACAAGAGAACTGGAAACAATATCAGACCAGGAGAGAGAGAGTGGCTGGAGCTGGTACAACTACATCAGGACCAGGGCCATCCATCCCAATGTCTTCATCCAATCCACTGACCAAACACAAGGCAAACCAACCCCCACCCAAAAAAAACCCCAATTGCTTTAGGCTTGTGGTTTGATGAAAATGGGTGCTGTCATCCGTCAGCAGCAGCGCTGATTGGTATCCATTAATTAATCAATGTTAATTATTGCAATTAATTCATTAGTTGATTATTTAATTAATTGATTAATGTTAAACGATATAAGATAAAGCCATGCACTTCATTAACCTGATTAATTAAGCAACGTGGGCTTAAACAACCGAGACTGACTGTATCCGCAACGCAGGTGGGAAGACTTTTATACGCACCCAAAGACTTGGGAATAATATAAAATAAAATTAAGGAAGAACACAAGTTTAAGTTTGTGGACAGCAGAGGGCGCCCACAGACTTGAGTGAATGAGGTCCATTGTTTATTTTGTGAGTGATTCATTGAGTGATTCAGAGGCTTTCAAAAGTGATTCAGAACTTTTTATAGATGTATATAGGGAACCTTTTGACCTCCATTACCCTCTTTATGGAACACAAACAGTTTCATTTGTGTATATATATATATAACTGCATTTTTTTTCAATAAATATTTTCCTGTTCAACCAGACACAATTTGGGATCTCATTGCAAGGATTCTCCATGACTGCACTTGTGTTCAAATAGATTCATTACATCAAAATGTGTCCGGAATAACAATCACAAGTATTGAGGGCAGAAACTGAAGGAGTTATATTTCCAAATGCTCCTCTGCAACGAAAGCATACTGTATTTTACAAATACATAGTTACTACATATTACATGAAGTGTTTTTAGATGTCCCCTCCAGTGTGAAAATAATAAATAATATTCCTTACATTTGGTATAGTGCCTTTCGTGTCAGGAAGACATCTCAAAGCGCTTAGCATTCAATAAGTTTTGTGCCTTCAGCTTTCGTTGACAGGGAGCACAAAGCCAGAACAGCCATGAGACATTTCAATGTGATTTCATGTAGAAGTAACACAATGCTTTTCGAAAGCATTCTATTCAAATACTTTGCAAGGTTTCCCCCTCCTCCCAAATGTCTCTACTAGTTTCTCCTCTCTCCATCTCTCCTGAAAGATTAATGGGTGAGCCTTGACAGAAACCTAGAGGTCAGAGTGTTGCCAAGTGAAGCAAAGGAATTACATATAAAAACATTATCACTGTACAGTAGAACCCATCAGCAGTCCTGCATTTGGCTGGACTGGCCATGTTGTCAGGATTTCAGATGACCACGCTTCGAAGCATGTACTCCACTGCCAGTTGAAATAAGGCAAATGGTATCTTGGCAAACGTCGCTCGAAGGCGATACAGAAACTCCAGCTGCGAAACATTGCCAATGGACACATGGGAAACAACTGCAACCACATGAAGTGAATGGCAGAGAGGTGTCATCAGACTTCAACCCCAGCAAACAACCCAAGCATCAATGCCAACTACAGCAGCACCAGCTGGATCAAAGCCAACTGGTTACTTTCACGCGGGTTGTTTGCGGTCTGTGTCTAGTTTCTCGTTTGGTTAATCAGCCATTGAAGAGGTGAAAGCTTTTCCTCTCCACCGCTGTAAGGGTTCTAAGTTAAATACATTTGAGTGGTCCCAACCCAGCTCTCCCAATGCAGAAAACTAGCCCATAATGTTACACCATGCATTAATTTGGCATCTCGTTCAAAGAGTCTCGAATGGATAACTGAAGTGTCATCAAGGCTATCCTGACAGAAGATCTTTAAATGAACTCAAATGGCTTGAGCTTATTAAAAAGGCATTTACTGCAATTTGACTTTTTTTTAAAAAAAAAGATAAAAGGTTCAGAAGATTTATTGAGAATTATACAATGTGCTAGCAAAGTGAATAGAACTTCAACAAAAGAGAGTGACTTATTCCAAAATCAACCACACCGGATGATAACATGTGTCTAAAGCTTTTTAAAGTTAAGAATGTTTGTGCAGAAATTCTATCAGGGTCCAGGTTTACTCTGTTTATGTTGCATTTTAGAGCATGCAAAATTCGGCAAATTGTTGAACTCTGTCTCAACCTTGAAGTTGGTTTGCTCTGCTTTTTTAAAAAAAAGAACTACAGAGGAAAGTGGGCTCAAGATTAAGGCTGTGTTTAAGTGCTCTGAAACACTGCAGAGGGAGAATGAATCTGGACCCAGGTGGAATTTCTTCCCAGGTGGGTTGAAATCCCCATTAAAAATCTGCTTTAAAACAGAGGTCAAAAATAGTAAACAAAACTTTGTAAAGACAGAAAAGAAAGCCCACAGAAAGGGTTCCTTACACATTCACTGGATATTCCTTTGTCATGCAACTGAGCACAAGTCAGTGAGATCAAGAGAGTTCACCTTCTGTGAAGAAGGAGCTATTACAATCATTACAGTAAATCTGGTGAAGTGCTTTGAGATGTCCTCCCAACATAAAAGGCATCAAGTGCAACATTAAGCCAAAGAAAACAAGAACAACAACAACTTGCATTAATATAGCTAATATAATATAATAAACACTCTTCATGTTGGTTAGAGTCTCGGAGTGCTGCAAAGCTCAGGACATTTTGATTGTCATTTTGATCTGGGCGTTGGGAGTTTTATCTGCCTTTTCCCTATATCATTTTTGGGAGATTCTCTACAAAACCTGCGAAAAGGTTTTGCAAAAAACTGTTTAAAGTCGCAATATAAATGTAAAGTTGGTATTGCATTGCTGTTCAGCATGTCCACTCTGTCATCGGAAATTTGCTCAGCAACTTTTGTAATCTCTTCTGTAAGAGTTCAGTGACAGCTTTTGTCATTCATTGTGTCCGCTGGCCACTTCTTAGTAGTTATCCTCTTTGATTTTCTTTTGCAGCCATTGTTTCTTTGCAACCATCTCTCTTTTCTTTGGCTAACACAGGTCACTCAAGTGTATCCATTTCCGAGGGAGCCACAGCTGGAGTTGAAATGCTTAACATTCCTCTCTGGAGTTGGGAGATGTTTTGTGCTTATGTTTTTGGAGATTACTTGAAGTTATTGTTTTATTTTCGAAGATTTCCCTTGCATGAGTTTAAGTGGTTTAACTTACCTCCTGTTGCTTTTTTTTGTGTATGCCGATTTCGTGACTTTGTGTACGTTCTCAATCACTCAGATATGGTCTTGATGTACAGTGTAATTACTGTTCAACTATGCCTCCTCTTTGATGTACAACACTTAATTCCTCGCAACATTCCCAGTCCCCAAAATCGCCATTTAGATTCACTGCTTATTGCAGGTATAGTGAAGACAATTCAAATGCAAAATTCCTGAGCACATTTGTGAATGAAATGGACAATTGAACCTTGGCGCAATGTGGTCAAGAAACTTAAAAACGCAAAACCAAAAGGAAAAACTTACATAAAAACCCAAACATCGATTCATGCATTGGATTGTGCTCTTGGCTGTTTCTTCAGTCATCTTAAACAAAAGTCAAATGGCAAGGCTTCCCGAGGAAAAGAATCAGTGATTATTTGAGAAAATCACACGATTACAAGATTGGTTTAGATGATGAAGGTCCTTGAGCCATTTGATCTTATTGTTCCAAAATACTCACCCTACTGTCCTCCGATCCCAGCATGAAGCTTCTTTATTTAAATGAGTCCAGTGTCCAGTGTAATGGGCTGAATGGCATCCTCCTGTTCCTAACTTTCGTGAAACCCTACAGGCTAAATACCAGAACCTAGGTGGTTTATGTTTACACCACGGTTCAACAGATTTGATGACGCATGTTTTCCTGCAAGATGTGATGCTTTATGATGAGAAAACTCAAAAAGGGTGGAGGAATGTGTGAGATGTCCATTCACGTAGCTATCCATTGTTATGTGTACGCATAAGTGCTGTTATCGTAGGGAGGGGGAGAAGCATTCAGTATATGTGCTTGGATTAAATGATTCAAAGAAACATAAATCTATTTGTCAGTTAAATCATTTAGATAAATCTTGTGGTGGCATGTCCATGTATGATTTTCACATATCAACGAAAATCAAACCTACCTCATAAATGCTAAACATCAGAAAAAAAGCAGAATAAAGAACTTCACAACACTTTTACTAACATATGTAAGTACTCACGACTGCAACAAGTCTGTCTGTGTACATGATTATAAGTCACCTACAGATGCATCTTTTGGCAAAGTTTCAGACCATCAATAACATTAAATTTGTATTACATTTTAGGCTTCTCTGAAGTCAAGAAAGTTTTTTCTACATGTAATTATAGCACTCAATTACATTAGTCACAACAGAACTGGAGAGATTAAGTATGTGCAGACAGAAAAGATCATATACAGTTTGCATGCTTAAGCTCCATCTTAAAAGACCAAGAAAGGTAATGTTCACTATAGCCTTGTTTTTTTTTGCCAGTTTAATCTTGTTCCCGGTATCCATTGCAGAAAGTAAAATTAAAAACCTTGTTTTTTTTAGTTCTGGCAATGTGACTGTAGTCCTCAGTGGGTTAGTAATAATAATAATAATAATCCTTGCATTTGATATAGCGCTTTTCACGTCGGGAGGACGTCCCGAAGCGCTTCGCAGAATATACTGTAAAGTGAATTGACTGTATATTTGTGGGCGAACTGTCTTCCTGACTTCACTCTCATCCTCTTCACAACACACACACACACACACAGTCTCAGAGCAACGGTGTTCTCCTTTTTTCTAAAAGCAAACGGGTTGCAGTAAAACAGATCGACTTTATTGCAATGTTGGGGGTGTGGGGGTGTGTGTGTGGGTGTGGGGTGTGGGGAGGGGGGGTGTGGGTGGTGGGGGGGGGGGGGGTGCGCCTTGTGGCAGATAAACAAACAGAAGAATATCAATTCTCTCCTGTACTATTTATAGGTATAGAGAGCAAGCGTTTCTGAAGGAGGGAAATGTCTTAAATTAAAACCATGAGGTAGAATTCTCCCACCCCCAGAATAATTATGAGTGTCCACGGACCGAATCCTTACATTAACTCAAAATTTACGCTTTCAAAATGTTACTAAGCAGATACTGAACGCAGATGCAGTGCAGTGCCTTCCAGTTACTGTATCACATAAACATTATTTGTTGCCTGGAGACGTGTATGGAACATCAAAGGCTGATTCAAGTGTCAAACTAAGCCCAGATTTATACTGGAATGAAACCCGTGTAGAAAGTTAATAGAAAATTGCAGGGATTTATTTTTACAAAAGATCTATGGGAATCCTTGGTTTTCTGAAATATACAGGATATTGCATCTGTGTTCTAATCAATGACACATGATGTCACTGCACAACTCTCTTTGACAAACCTGCTGCAATGTGATATCTCGCGTATGTTAACAGGAGAGTAAGTGTCCCTTTGAAGAGTGACTGTTTTACATAGAAACCATGCTAACAGCTGGATGCCAAGCAATGTTATATTACAATTGGCCCAAATCTGAGAGGTTTTTGAATAATGACGTGTTAACCTGACACACTCAGATGAATAATCAACAGGTTTTACATCTGCAAAGCTAAAGATACAGTTATTTATCTATCCTGAAGCGTTGCTCTGATACAACCTGCCTTCAGGATAGTCCTCCTGACATACGGTCATTAAAAACATGAAGAGTGTGGAACGAGAAAGCACTATTTGGCTTTGGGCCGGCTGTTTGCAGTGAATCTTTCCTGGCTTTCCAACAGGGTAATTGCAGAATGCGACTTGTACATCAAATGATCTTCTTCCTAGACAGGGTTTGAGCGATTACATTCAAGTAAACTAAACCAACAGCAGATTTCTGGGACTATTCCAAGCGCCTTAAATCAGAACATCCCAATTTGTAAGGAGTTTTATTTCCATTAGAATGATAAATGGAAGCTCTTTTTCAACTGAATCTGCAAACATTAAATCCTGCGATAGGAGCACTTTTTTGGTGTAAATTGAGAGAGTTTTTGATAAGTTCTGAAACGTATTTCTTGAGGTTTACTCCTACATTTAACTGTCTATTTATCACAGTAGAAGGAGACGTACAACATCCAGGGAACCTTATAAAAGCTTTTTATATTTCTTGAGCTGGCAATAAATCTAAAGTTCATCTATTGCCAAGAGTTTAATCAGACCAAATTTTGAAACCACATTAAAAAGTCACAGATATCTCTCCTGTTCCATCCATTAACCCAACCTCCACCCCCAACCAGTCCTCCAGCAGACTGTTTGGAATGTATTTTGATTGAAAAGAAAGCTTACATTCAAGACCATTAGCTAGCAGAATGGCCCAGCATCCCAGGATTGCCAAAGGAGACATGAGTAAAGTCTGTGGTTAGTCAGGACCCTACATTCGTTCTTAACGTTCACTCACCTTTGACCCTCAGAAGCCATTCTGGTTTCCCAATGAAATGTTTTGGAGCAGAGTGAAAATAGAATGGGTGAAAGTGTTCTCAAGTGAATAACTTTGCTTCAAAGCAGAGCCGTAATTTATAACGTTAAGCAGAAACTGCCTTTGAGCATCCTGGCGAACACCAGTTTCACTCAGGAGCCCAGTCTCACTATATCCTGTTTGGTTTTGTTCATTGCCCAGACACACACACACACACACACACACACCATTCTATTTCTTATGTCACATCTGTTCTGGTACACTGAGATCACCTGGCACAACAGGTACAGCAGAGGATAGATGTAGAATTCAATTAGCAGTGCACACAATCTTTTACATGGCATTTGTGAGGTGGCAGTGTCATTAAAATGTATATTTTTTATGGTTTTGATGATTGTTTTAACTACAATATTCCTGCACCTAAATCCAGGTAGAAACTTCAAGATGGTTGAACTTTTTAGGACGGTCTAACTAATCTTCTCACAACTATGGAGGGTGGGGGTTGGGGGGTAGGCGTTGACACCAAATTAACTTTCCCTTTTGCCTCATTCCCAAACACTTTTCTCTTGTTTCCAAAGTTTCAAAATGTACAATGGACTCGCACCTGATCCAGCACAGAAACAGCATCACAAACCAATTAATAGGGCAACATTTTATCTGGGTCTAGATTTACAGTCTTAATTGTGAAGCCGGTTTATTCTCTACAATCCTTTAATAACTACAGAAAACAACTTCAAAGTCAAGGCAGAATTCAGTAATCTGTCAAATTCTGGATGTATATAGTAAACCTAGACCAAGGTGAAATTTGTCCTCTATGTGTCTGAGACATTGATAATAAATGTTATGTGTTCAATACAATACTCAGCAAATACCATGGTAATTCCTTTGTTTTCAATCTCCTTCTAGGCTGTTTTCAGGAAAATCATACAGGAAGATGATCAAAGTCTTACAAGGAAAAGAAGAGCAAAGATGGGCTCTTTATCTGGGAGCGATGGTCCCTTGTTAATGGTCTCAGTACTCCTGCTTCACCAAACACAGCACCGTGGGGTCTGTGAGAATTCAGAGTGGCAGGTCAACAGGAAGTTTGGAAGAGCAGTGCTAATAAAAGTCACAGCTGTGCTCATCTTTTATAGAGCTGGCACATCTCACAGTCCCTGGAGGAGCAGCTACAGGCCTCAGTCAGACTAAGTTGCACGTGGCGATTGGGTGAAGAAACATTGAGCTCAACTGAGCCTGCTCCTGCTGCAGACCACACAAACCTGTCCCATCGAAGACTCCACCTCCATTCTGTCTCCTGAAAGAATATTCATTCCTCTCCAAATGTAATAATAACCTTAATAATCCTTGCCTTTAATATAATGCCTTATCATGTCATTGAGACGGTTCAAAGTGCTTCACAGAATACATCTCAGTGTAGTGACGGTATATTTTGTGGGCGAAATGTGGCAGCCAATTGCCCACAGTAGCGTCCCACAAACAATTCTTTCATGCCCTGGTGTTTATTGCCTCTTAGACATACCAAGGTATCGCAGCTTTAAAATTATCTTTGGGGGAAACAGTTGCTCCTGGCTCAGAGTTTCTGACTCCAGTGTGAGCCGAGAATCACGTGTAAACTCAGAATGTATAGTCACGGATACTGTTCTGCACATTGAACTGCCGTGGATTTATGCTTCAGTAAACTGATGCAACAGTGACATGCTGTGGTTGTGAGGAGTATTTAATAAGTAGAGGGGAGAATGTATTTTAGCATTAAAGGAAAAAGAGTGGGGAAATGGGATTAAAAATGTAAAGAGATGCTACGATCCAATCAAAAAGTGAAGAGCTCTTGACGTGCTGCTTGGAATAAATACAAATTGCCAGAATCGCCATTTGAACGAAAAGTATGTGATTCGTGCTTTCATTTCAAATCTGCTCGTTTGAAATCTGCGACATTCAGCGGTGATTTGCTCGAAAAAAGGCCACATGCATTTCTCTTTACACATACACACACATACACTGGCAATTGGCAAAGCAGTTAAAACAACAACGCCTTGCTAGGCTGATTCAAAAACAGTCAAGTGGCGATACTACAGGAACTAGAATTCCTCATGTGGGATTTGAAAGCACAACCTTCTGACTCAGAGATGACCATGGCACCAGCCGAGCCAGGCTGACACGTCTTGGGAGTGAGTCACTGGGTTTTATGTCATTGTTTCATCACTCCGTTATTGATACACTGCGCAATTTGGTATCGCTCTCAAGGAAAGCTCATCGTCAATAATAATAAGGCTAACTCCTTACGTTTGATAGAGCGCCTTATCATCTCATTGAGACGTCTCGCAGCGCTTCGCAAAATGTATCGTAAAGTGGATTGACTGTGTATTTTTTGTGGGCGAAACTGGAAGACTAAAACTGACCAAAAAACCTGAACATTTGGCGACTGGGACTGGGGTGGGAGTGGGATGGGGGGGGGAGGAAGTTCTTGAATTTACTGAAATGAGATGAATTTACTGATTAAACCTCTTTCGAAAAGCGTTTGGTCATAAATACCATCTACAAAGTGCTCTGGAGACAAGTCGAAACAAGTCGCTGTCGGAATTCCCCCCTTATCCTGGTGTTCCCAGTGACGGGGTGAAGGACACCCGCATGAACTAATAGCGACGTGGGGAAGGCTCCCTCCCCACCGCCCCGACAGAGAGGACAACCCAACCAGAGCCCTGGGAGGGACCTCGGGGCGAGTTCGCAGCGAAGTTTAAGGGCAGAAGTTGGTGCAATGAAAGGACCGAGAGTCAGAGAGAGCAGTGACTCACTGGATGCTACGCGGAAGTTACCAGCGATCACACAGTCTTGTCTTGTTGTTTTGGAGGTGTTTTCCTGGCTGTTCAAACTCAAACCCTCCCGAGGGTTTACCATCGCAGAGTTTGCAGTAACTTTGCATCGACTTTGCGGTGGGGGGTGCGGTGTGGGGGTTTGCGGGAGGGGCTCAGCCATGGAGAGCTTCAGGGCATCAGGAGCTGCTGATGGAAGACTGAGTCGGGAGGAAGGTGACAGAGCTCCAGGTGACAGTGGCAGTCAGTGCTCCACGTTGGAGAGGGGACACCTGTTGGGGGGCAGAATGGAAACTCCTTCTTATTCACAGGACACAACAGAGGTGATCGATGGCTTTGAGGAGGTTTCTTCTGCTGTTTGCAGTTGGACAGTGGTCTTCAGTGGATGGCCACAACCTGACCCGGATCCCCTCGGCTCTTACACTCTATTAAACGAGTTTCCTGGAAGGAAAGGCAAAGGAAGTCGTCTCTATTCCAAGTGCACTCCCATTCGCCACTCAATTGTTGATCTCAATTGGCGTAAATGAAAAATGTTAAGATCCAGTGTGTCTCTGCCCCCTCGGTGCGTTATTTCCCGGTGTTTGTGTGCTTAAAAATCTGAGGTTACAATCCTCTCAAGGGCGTCTCAACAAATGCAAGGATTATTATTATTATATATAAACGCAGACGGTAATTAATTTGTCCATCTATAAATTATTTCAGATTCCTCGGATGAGATCCTTATGAGACAAGCTGGAGGACTCATGCGTAGGTGAGTAACTTCGTAAAAAGTCCTTCATTTTTTAACCTCTCCTTACCTTTACTTTATGAAGCAGTTTACAGGCATCAGCTACATTGCTTTATTCTTTCTGTCTTATACAAGACTGCCCCTCTTTCCATTCTGTTGCTAGTCTTTGTCTGTGAGCCTATTTTGTTGTATTAATAAGCATAAATGCTGACACAGGTAAATAGAAATTTACAAAAGGATGTACAGAAAACAATGTACAGTATGGAAACAGGCCGTTCGGCCCACCTGGTGTTGGAAATTGATCCACCTAATTTGATATGCTTGTTTATTGTTGTGAAGATTTGTGCTGGAGACAATCCATGAAGAAGATCCAGAAATTTCACTCAGCCCCGATGAACTGGGCGGCACTCAGAGTGAGATTGATGATCCTACCATCAAGCATGTAACCCAGTGTTTGAGGACAATTGGGGATGAACTGAACAGAAATGTTGAACTGCAGTGGTATGTAATTGAACAATGTATAAAGTAGCTTTCTGTCCCTGGATAATTTCCTAATGATGTAAAATGTGCTTAATTAGTGATTTTCCCGGGAGCTCACATGATACAATGCTGGACTCCCAAGCCAAATCCCAATTCAGTTCAAAACTTTGAACTGAACACGACTCTCCTCAGGCTGTGTTGTGTACGTTGTTGGCTGGGTCCACGTGATGAACTGACTCACATGAGCGCAAAGTTCTAACTTGTTTGGAAGGGAAAGGGAGAAACAAAATGTCCAATTGCCTATCCAAGAAATGCACCTCTATTATTGATATAATAATAATAAGAGATGAGTCATGATCACAGAAACATTTGTGGTCTGAATCATAACCCAGGTGAAGGGGATATCAAAGTTAGGTTACTTGTACTGCATTCAGATGGATAATGTACTACGTTAGAGACCCAGCAATTATTCCTAACAAATGTCGAGGCTGAAATAGTACCAGGTGATTGAGAATGGCTTTATCTAACAGTGTTGTTTTCTGACAACAGCCTGATTGACAGCATTCCTATCAATTCTGCCCGAGATGTTTTGTGCCAAGTAGCTGGAAAGCTCATTTCTGATGAATTGAACTGGGGAAGAATTGTGTCCTTCTTCTACTTTGCCGGTAAACTTATTTACAAGGTAATGTGAATTGACATCAGCAAGTACAATTTACTATTATGTGTAATAACAGCAAAGCACATATGTATAGTGCCTTTCACGTCAGGAGACATCCCAAAGAGCTGGACAATCAGTGTTTCGGGCCTGAGCTGGGGGACAGGATCAGGCAGGTGGTGAGCTGCGGGGGAAGAAGGGTGATCGAAGGCACAGTCAAAGAGGAGGGTCTTGAGATGGGCCTTGAAGAAGGCAATGCATATAAATTCTTACATGATACTTTACATATAAGTTGTTTCCTGATAAATTTACCTTTAGTTCAATATCTAGTGATTCCTGTGTGTCCAAAATTGTTCTGCAACAATAAAGCTTATAGTTCATCTGAATTATGTTTTCATGACTTAGAGTCAGGAAGCAAAGTGGGTATGTAATGTTTACTCTTAAATAATTATGACAGCAAACAGAACTGTGCTTGGTTCAAATTATATCTTAATCCCATGCTTTGTTCATTTTTTTCACTTTTATTTCTAAACCCACTCAGTGGTTGTTTTGTTGCACAAAATAATAATAATAATTTAATAATAATAATAATTTCTGCCACTTGTGGCAGAAACCCATAAAACTATTTGTAAGGAACATTTCTCCCAGTGCTGTGGGCAATAATCCTCCAGTTAAATTGATTGTGTTCACAATCAACCCCTATCCTTAACAATAACTACTGCAAAGCACTCTGATACAAAAGTGAGAATAGTCTTACAAAAGATTACTTTAAAATCACTGATAAAATCACTTGTCAATAATCAAAATAATGTGTGGATAGATAATCGGTATTGCTTCGAATAACATTACCATCCTTCGCTAGGCACTGATGCAAAATCTGAGAGGAATGATCCAACCTATTATTAATTGGTCCTTGGATTTTATCCAAAACCGTGTGGTTCCATGGATTCAGCTGCAAGGAGGTTGGGTGAGTAAACGGATTTGTGTCAGAGCACGAGTGGAGTATTAGATCTTTGAAATGTTAATTAAAGGGTGGTGCAATGCAGAGATTGGATTTATCAAGTGATTGTGATAAGTTTTCACGAGAAATCTAATTTCTGTTTTTGTTTTTTTAGGAGAATATCTATTCTTACTTCGGAACTCCAACCTGGCAGATGTTTGCGGTCTTTTCAGCTAGCATCATTACCGGTGTTTTGGCTTTGATGAAACTGACCTAACTATGCAAAGCCTCCACGTTTTCTCTCCTTTCAATTTGTTTTACTACTGTTTGGAGATTGTTGTCTTTCAATGGTATTCATCAGTTCTCAGCTAGAATCTACACTGACCTCTTGGTTGTGTCTGGAACAGAAATTGCAAATAATGAACTTGTAAAACATTGGACAGTTCATTATCATAATTTTTTTGTTATAAATTATTTTTACGTTTTATTGCTCTTCAAACTTGCTGCTACCTTTTAAAACTTAACAAATGTACTTCCTGCCAAAAACAGCTGCATTACGTCCGTCTGAAAATGGAACCTTTTGTGCTAGTGTCAAAGGCAATATCAAGCTGCTGCTTCATGGGGGAAATAGGGGGAGATAGATCACCTCTAAAAGGTGGCTTCATTTTGCTTTTGAAACTTCCTAAGTCTCTAATGCTACAGGTATTGAATAATGAGAACTGACTGTCCTCAATTGAAAAGATGCTGGTAAGCAGTATTCTGCAATGGTGTAAGTTGTGGCTTCTCTCTCTACTGCCAAGTGTGCAGTGTGATTGTAGCCCTCACCATAGCTGCTAAAATTCTGTCAATACTATGTCAACACAGTATGTTGCCCACAAAATATACAGTCAATTCACTTTACGTTATATCCTGTGAAGGGCTTTGAGACGTCTTGAAGATGTGATAAGGCGCTATATCAAATGTAAGGATTATTATACTATTATTACAGTGTAACCGTTGTATTATAGTGATGAAATGTTAGCTGATCATTTCACTCACAAAATACAATTAATTCACTTTACCAGTTTATTCTGTGAAGTGCTTTGAGACATCTCAACGACGTGAAAAGGCGCTATATCAAATGCAAGGATTATTATTATTATTAATATCTCTTGTTGAATGTGGTGAATGGTTGAAAGCTGCAGAATATCTTTCCACTGCAGTTATAAAAGATGACTCTCGATTATGAAGTGTCATATTGAGCAATGAGTACCCAGCATTTGTTTCTGCTGATTGTTTGAACCTTGACTTCTGTGATGAAAGATCAATATGTGAAATGATGGGCAGCCCTGATGGTTCAGTAGATAGAGATGTAGGCCATGGACTGGTAGCTCACTGGTCTACACTGAATTTGCTGGCCACAACTTGGCCTGCATTGGGATCTGAATTGACCCTGGTCTCCCCATGGGTAAATTAGGCAGGATTCCTGCTCCAGGTTCCTCTACAGCATTCTCGACTGGTTATATATGTGTTTGTGTGTGTGTGTATGTGTGCAGGGGGGGTGGGGGCAGTCGGTTGGGGAGAGGTCAAGCTCCACTGTGTCACCCTCTTCTGTTAAGTAGCTTGTTGGCCCTCACTCTATGCTCACAAGTGAAGATTGGCCACTTTGGGAACCACACTCCAGGGATTTTTGTAAATGTGGAAAGAGGAGTTGGCTTTCGCTTCTGAGAAGAAGCCAAGAGGAAACGGAATGAGGGGAGGGTAACTCGTGAAAGGGGTTCTCATTTTCTCTTTATAAAATTGTAAACCCGGAACGGTGCTAAGATTAAGCCTTAGAAACGTTTACATTTTAATATGATTTTTTTTAGCCTTCTGTACTTTCTTTTGACATAAAATGTGTGAAATCACATAAGTGTGCTCTGTGAGAAAAACAAAGATCTTGTCGTGTCTTTTATTCCCTTTTATTGGTATCAACTTTTAATTTATAATAAAATTTAATTTTATTGTAGAGAAAATGAAGCTTGAGCAATGTTTTTGGGAATCATCCTCACGGTGTATTGTATTTCTGACAAACGTTGATTGAAAATAAAAAAAAGTTTCATTCACTTCTGATTTTGTTCAGTAAAGTTATTTTTGAAATTCTTCCTCATACAGAGGAGAGTGAGATATTAACATTGGAAAGTAGTCCATTGTAACATTCAAATGATCCAGTCCCAAAACATCAGAAAATATTTCTGAATGGTATTATTCTTCAGTGAGTATCAATCAGCTATTTGACTGAGCAAACACACCTCATTCTTAGCTTGCCCAGTACCTACACTGTGCTCTTTCAAACGAGGAGTTACTGGATAACATTTAGGAGCAGCAACAATTTATAGACCAACTGAGATAACTTAACTCAGCACAGACCAGGAAACAAAACCTTGTGGTCTTCAATGTATTTGCTCTGCAGAGGAATAATACTTTTACCCACAAGACCATCAGAGGAGCTGAACCCCAGTCCTTAATTAAATTTGCTGATAACAGCCTCAGAAAATCCAACAACAACAGCAACTTACATTTATATAGCGCCCTTTACGTGGGCTAATGTCTTGGAGTGCTGAATTGCACTGACTGCAGACTTGGCAGAAGCTGCTGATAATTCAAGCTTTGGGATTGCTGCTGTGAGCAATCTTGTCGAATGCTTCCATTGGGATTGGAAGTTGTTTACCTGTTCAAGCAGTTTCTCTGTTAAGCGCTCAATGACTTGACATGAGTAACCTCCTCCTCGTGGCCATTAACAGATGATCTTGGCCACTAGATGGTAGTCTGTACACAACAAACGGCTTTGTGATACTCCCATCGATTCTGTAATAATACAAGAGAAAGAAAAACCTGATGTGGTTGACAAGTTAAAGAAATAACCCTGCAGAACATATTTTGCTGCATAACTGATGTGTAGTCGTGCACATACTGTATATTCATGTAACACTCCCGAGTAGTGATTCCATCCCATTCTCAACCTGGGAAGTCCCTCTTAGAGAAGTGTCTACAATTTCCCACAACCAAGAGTATTCAATTCCCTTGGTGTGTTGGCTTAACATTGACCTTTCTTTTCGACCGCGGTCTTTGGTCACCTTCCTCCCCCTGCTCCTGGCTCGGCCCCGGGATCCGTTACTGTGAAGCGCTCTGAGACGTCTTCCAGCGTGGAGGGCGCTATTATAAATCCAAGTCGTCGTTGTTGTTGTTGTTGACCGGGCAGTTTATTTTTGAATGTTTGTATTTGTTTTTATTTTTGTTGCTGTTTCTTCCCTTTTTACAAGGTTAGGATCAATGCATGTGGACTACCAGCAGAGGTCACTAGTAACCTTTAAAAGCAGGAACTCTGGGCTGATAATTCCATTCCTAATTCATGAATACTGTTCAACTTGCCTTTTGCAAAAGTGACATAAACATTACAACAGCACTCAAAGCCACTGACATTGCATATGCTCAAATTCAGCAGATCCTATGGGCTGCACGTAAGGCATACGTATGTGTTTATATCATTTATCTATATCTGAATTAAATGCTAAATGTCAAAATTGTTTGCCTGGATTTGCCATTCCAAAGTTTACAAAGACAATCTTTTGATAAAATTGGAATTTTAATAAATATTTGGAGACTCAATAACAATTTGCTTAATCAGTGTTTTGCAGTTAAGGTAATGAGGAGGTCAGTTGATAACAAACTCATATAGAAAGCAAAACAAAGTCTAAAAAAAACCATTGAAGGAAACAATCTCCAGCCACTGGGATTCAAATCTGTTTTGATGAGAATCTTTTAACACAAACAGATATCATGCAAGAAGGCCAACAATGATACACCCTTAAATCCTCAAGGAAATAGGTGAGGCCCTGTTTAAAATATTTGAGAGATTTTTGTCGACTAAAACGCTGGTATGCCGCTAACTAGCAAGTGGCACAGGCTGGAAATTTAATGCTACAGTCAACAACAACTTGCATTTACATAGCGCCCCTTAAGCAGGTTGGCATCCCAGATCGCTTGGGTTGGGACGCTGCCCTGTGTCTGAGAGAATGACGTGTTGGCGAGGAGGTTGTCTGGCCCAGTCAACGTGATAAATAACTAATGGAACACAAATTTGCTCCCAGCATCGTCATTTCTTGAGGGCTTCAAACCTATACAAAGCTGTTATCAACAACACTCGTGAAATATTCCTCATGAGTCACCATTAGTCATCAAATGAAAGTACATGACTTGAATCTAAAATACATTACTCTTACGTTGTCTACAGCACTATTGTGGCCACATTTGAACGAAAACGACACAGTACATTCTCAAAAAATATGAAAGCGCTGGCGAACGTTTAAGGATGATTAGGATGATTCTAGGAGCTAGATCAGGAAGGAAATGCCCGAAGAGCTGACTTACTAGAAAAACATTGGGAATCTAGAATAGGATACAATCAATGTCTTTAAAATTATGAGAAGCATAAATGATGAAGATTTAAGGAGGCTACAAACTTTAGCAGCGAAACATAGGTTCTAAATAACTCCTCCCTCATACAATCACAGAGCAGTGAATATGTGGAATAGGCTTCCAATAAAGACAGTTGATCAATTAACTTTTTCAATAAAGAACTAGATAAGTACAGTAACTGTTTGAGAAAGATGTTGAAGGTTACAGGTATCATGTAGACTGAAATGGAACAACACAAAATACAATCATTTATGTGTTGCTGAGGCCGTCGATGGAAGGGTATGCTGCCTATGGAGGGAAGCAGGTCAGATTTAAAGAGAGGTAATGTGTGAGTGGATGAATATTCTGGAGATCTCTGTTTCGTTAGATTTTAGGGTTGAGGAACATCAACCACTTTCCCCAGGAGATGGATGAAATCTACATTAGGTTAACTTCATATTGCTTTAGACGAAAGGGACTTGAATGATCCAATCATCGTTTGGCTTTCTAAAGCCTTCATGTCATTTTTATTAATCCATTAATCATGTTAAGCTTCAAGGAAGAAATCAGATTGAGATAAAAGGATGACGAACTAAATACGCGTTGCTTTCTGTTGCAACCAGTTTCAGTACTTTAGGTTTTCATAATGTGCCCATTGTATTGGAAGGTTAGCCTAACTGCCTGCTTCTGCAATAAACTTACAATATTTGTCAATGTGAGCTTTATTAGATTCCTAACCTGCAGTGACCGAATAATGCCAGATGCGAATAATACAATATGAATAATGCTAGATTTTGAGTGAATGGCCTTCATATTTTAGCTGACCAATAGTTGTATGGATGAACTGTACTAAGACTTACGAACAGTTCAATGCTCTGTGTAATGTTTATTTTGAGATAGCTGAATGAAGTTATGCTGGGAAGCCTGTCAATATTATCATCAATAGTTTTGTGGGACTCCAGTCAAAACATATGCTCCCAAATAGCAATTGCGAGAAGTGGGAGTTTGACTTCTTGTACATTCACTGTGAACTAAGATGAAATACACTGTAAAACAACAAGGGTGAGTGAGTCACATCATTCCAGAAAACTCACTCCCTTTCTAACTGGAGCCAGATCTTTGTTTTATCGTTGGTACCACTGTTGTTGAGATAAGTCAAATGTTATCATGTTATAGAGCAATGTGAAGTTTATCAAAGAAGTCTGATAACAAACTGACTTCCTCAGTTCCAAATATTTCTACATCTCTGCCATTTAGATTTTGTTTATGGTTGTAGGATCCAGTTTATAATCTACTGCACAGAAATAAAGCAGCTAATGCATTACTCCTTTGTACCCTGCAACTCGATCTCTGTTCTGCAAGGAATTGTGGAGCTAAATATTATATCAGCTCCATGATATTTGCGAAGATGGAAATATTCAGAGTTGAAAAGAGTTCAGTAAAATTGTCATTAACCAACATCAAGAGGGCTTTCAATATGGAAACTAGTCATG